AAACTTGTATATTGGTATTATATAAATATATATTTTTGTTTCATTTTCTTTTAACATTCGATTTGTATTTATTTGAGCCCGAGTTAGGATTGATGAAACGTAACTTAAAGTTATTTTAATAAACAGTTATAAGCTTATACACTTTACTAGCTTAATGTAACGTTAATTGGTTAAGTGGGATTAGGGCCATAGCGAATGAAAGCGAGGCATCGAATCCGCCTGGCGACCTGCGCTCGACATATCATTGGCAATTAGTGAAAGCTCAGCACATTTGGTTAGGAACACAAATATTTTGTTTTGGTTTCTTAAGAATTAAAAACTGAATATATATACATATAAATGCATATATATACATATATGTTGGGGAATTTATGTTTAGTGATCGCGCTTCATGCTGGAGGCCGTAGTTCGAGCTGTGTTGTGCTGTGCGATGTTCGTGGCTGCGAGAATTTCTCCGATATGGTGGACAATGAGATCAATGGCAACTGCAAGAAATACATTGTAACAGAAACGAAAACAAAAAGTAGGAAAGAGGAAACGAGTAACGACGGGGGAATATGGAAAGACGGAAGTTAACGTCAGGCACAGTATTATCAAAGTTGTTGTTCTATATCTGTGTTAATTGAGCTGGGAAACAGAAATTGGTAACAGTAAAACCCAAAAAACGAATTCAAACGCATTGTAACATAAACTAGATACATGTATATAACTACATATACGAATATATATATACAAGAAAACTAAGTAAACATTTTTAACTAAACACTTTAAAAATTTCACAGGAGTGTTTTAAGTGTCAGTGTATTGCGTGTAAGTTTTAGTGTGGGTGTAGATAAAGTTCTCAAATTAAGCAAAGCACGTGTTTATGTGGCTGTTGGCGCACTTCTATATCTCACCTGTATTGTCCGCTCCTCGTGGAATTATCACGTCAGCAAATTTCTTAGTCTGCCAGAACGAAAATTCGTGTTGATAAACAAAATTTATAAATTGCAATGTTTGGCTTACCGGCGAGCAAAATTCCTCGAAGGCGGGCTTCACAAACGTCATGTACTGGGTGAGCACAGCGTCCAGATCTCTGCCACGCTCATTGATGTCACGTGGCACTAGAAGATTGWAGCAATCAGTCAAGATCATATRTTAATCATCCAACTTACCTCGTCGTGCTAGCCGCGTATCGGAATCAGTATCCACGAAAAGCTTCATATGAAATAGATCACGTATTTTGGGAAAATAAAATACCAAGATGCCTTCAAAGAGTACTACGTCCGCAGGATAGATGACCAGCTTGTTATCAAAGTCACTACAAACAGAGAAATTGCATTGGCGAATGCTGTCAATATAAAAAATTTATGTTTGCTTACAGCGAATTGGTGCGGTAATCGTAGCTGGGGATCTTGACTTTGTGACCTTTCAGAATGAGTTGCAACGTCTCGTACATGAGCTCCTCGTTAAAGGCATCCGGATGATCAAAGTTAAATTTGCCCTTTTGCGCTTTTATCTTTTCGGCTGGCGTGAGTTCACGATAGAAACTGTCCTGACTAATGGACACCACTTGCCGCTGCGTATGATCCATCTCGGCCTGGCCAAGTTGTTCCATTATTTTCTTGCATACAGTTGATTTACCGCTGGCTGTGCCGCCGGCCACTCCAATAAGGAATGGGGATTTGATCTCATCGTGGGACAACGCATCACCGTTGATCAAGACAGCCGATTTTTCTTTGTTTGTGTTATCCATACTGGACTAAATGTGCAAACAGCGAATTAGAGAGAGGAGACCGCAATTGGCTATTCCATCGATAGCTATCGATAAGTCTCGCAGGAACTTTCTACTATCGTTGAGTTACATTTACMTACATACATATATAATGTTCTTGATAATTATCATTAAACATTAAGATAAACATATCAAGTAAATTATTAGTAATGAGTATGTACTTTGCTAGAAATCCCACCAATTATTTCAAGCTTCAGCAAATACGCAAATATCAAAGACATTTCAAATGATTTTGACTTACAATAGCCGAAAAGAATTCAGCCGTTTGCTTCAATTTTTAAAAATAGTTAACAACGAAATTACAAACAGCTATCGGAACTTTTCTTGTTATCGAGCGAACCAACTGCTGMTTGTTTTAGTATTAACAGACTCTGTTAATTACATACATATGCTGCGAACAGAGATAGTTTACTGAAGGAAATCCATTACATGACTTTCGAATAATTACAGGGTATRTTTMATTTTGTTATTGTTTAATTTCGCAATCAATTACTTGAATCGACTTTATACTCTTTAATTTWGTTTGATTTAAGTTAAATAAAATATATAAAGTAGATAGGAAAGCATGTCTCATAACTCATATAAATACTAAATTCTTGATTAATATACATATGTATGTATGCATGTGTGCACCATCATTTGTATATATTGGCGACTCATATATCTAATTAAAAGAATGGAAAGTCTGGAAAACAGATTTTTACGCAGAACCAGGCTGAAATAATATGCCAATAGTTTGAGTAGAGCACTATAAATAGCAAAGAGCCCAAGAAACTAGACATCACATTCATTTTAACAGTTTCAACCAACACAAGCATGAAAGTCTTGGTTCTATTGGTTGCTCTAGCGGGGATCGCCACAGCCGTGGACTATTGCGCCTTGCCTACATGTCTGGACAAGCACATTGCTTGCAACAATAAGGGCGTGAGTGGTGATAGCTGATCCTTACATGACTATGTATATCGATAACCAATTTTAAATCACTGCAGAACTTTAGCGAGGAATGCCCTAAGGATGTCCGTGAGATTAAGCTGGATGGACATCAGAAGCTGATTCTAGCATTGTTCAATGAGTTGCGCAACAAGGTCGCCGGCGGCAAATTTGAGGGTCTACCCAAGGCGGCGCGAATGGCCAAGATGTCCTGGTGCGAGGAGCTCACTCATTTGGCACTACTCAATGTGAAGACTTGCCAGTCCCTGCCAGACAAGTGCCGCAGCACTGAGCGCTTTGCATACGCTGGCCAAAACAATGCCATTTTCAGCTATAGTGGTCCCGAGTCGGAGTACACCGATGCGGAGATCATCAAGGAGCAGATTGAGAATTGGTTCTCCGAGCGCACTCACACCTCTCCTGAGATTCTTGCCAGCTTCCCTGAAGATCTGCCCAACAAGGCGATTGCCAAATTCACCATAGCCGTCGCCGAGAAGAACACCCATGTGGGCTGTGCCGCCGTACGCTTCTCTCGTGACTTTTACAACCACTTCGTGCTCACCTGCAACTTTGCCACCACTAACGTGATTGGACAGCCCGTCTACACACCCGGCGATCGTGCCACAGCCGGTTGCAAGAATCGCTATGGCGCTGCCTTTGACTATCCCAATCTATGCTTCGCTAAGGAGATCTATGACAATGACAAAATTGTTCCTGATATTAAGATAAACTAAGAGTACCATTTACCATAACAATAATCGCATAGCCAATTAAATTGACGACCCCACCACCATTCAGATAACTGTTTCTTTTTTTCTTACACTTGACACCTTTTACTGATCCATCGACGTCAGAATTTTAGACAGCAAGATTTTTCTTTAAATTAAAACATGTTTTTTAACAACTTAATTATTTGCTTTTAATTATATGTATATCATTTAAATAGGAGGTATTTATCGCTCAGACCATTCCGACAATTCGACAGTTTACATGTGTATGTAAATATTTTAGATAGTATTTTTTGTTTGTTTTTATCAAACACGCATTATCACAATCTTACACAGGCATAGAAAACATTTACTATCTTACATTTAAGAATTTGATCTAACAATTTGTCGTCTTGTTTTCTTTTTACAATCTTCGTAAATGTATGGTAATAAATATGTAGTATTAAATTGGTAATAAAACTTTCGTCAAAGCCTCTGGCAATGTTTTGGATGGTGTCTGGGGAAATGTGCGGGCCAATTCAATCAAATGTGTATTAATTATGTAAAGACTTCAAACTAAAATAAAAATGAAATATTTGTTAAATAATGACAAATATATAGAGTTAGCTGAGATAATTCGCGATTCTCGGGGCGCATCTGATAATCCAACAATTCAACTAGATTACAATTACAAAACTACATTTAACATTTAAGTGAATAAGTTAATATAGAATGAAGCATTACTTCTCCTTGGGCTTCTTGTCGAAGAGATACTCCTTGGCCATCTGATAGCCCAGTCCAACGGTCAGGCAACCGACGACTGTGCCCTGCGCGGCCACACGCAGCTGCATGAGGAAGACGCTGGTGCTCATTGTGCCGCGATTCTTGTATTTGTACGCACCAATCAGACCCGCTGCCACGAAGCCAGCAATGCCTACGTAGAAAAAACAACAAACAAAAATTGTATTATAATTGTATTTTGCGAAAAGTGTCATTTGTTGTTGCTAGCTGATAATCACCAGACGGCGGCAGCTGACGCACCAATACAAACGCAATACACGCGCCAAGCGCGACGTCATTGATGTGTTAATACACGACAATACAATTGATGGGCTCACACATACACACACTCACCCACATACATGGGTGTTTCAATATTAACCTTTACAGCATTAAACCGCTTAACTGTCCAGCTACAGCATCAATTTCGCACACATACRCAYTTACATTTACATTATTATGATGAAATTCACGTGTTAATGAACGTTATGTCACTGTGTTCCTAGCACGTATGCACMTACATTTCAGCGTATKTATCTGTCTARCCGAAAATCGTCGATTCACCGCGAAGGTCAAGGTATGCATGCTCATCCTTGCCCACCCACACATACATATCCGATAGGAAAAGTTTCCGTGACGTCACAGCACAGGAAATGTTTGAGTGGTWTGCCAATGCAATATCAAATTGATAGCAGAGTTCTTTGACTTACCGACCAACATAAAGGGAGAATCCTTGGCCTTATTCACAAACTTGTTGGCCTGCGCCACATCTTCTTCGGTTTCAAATATGGATTTCGAACTCATGGTTTTTATGCCTTTTCCTCTTCTTTCGTAAGCCAACAAATTCGCACAATGCTAAAATTTTTGGCAAAGGTTGTCCGCCACTGAATGCAAAAGTGTTACTGAACTTGAACCGAATATTCCCACTTCTTTATTTAGATTTCATTTCACAATATTAATCGATAGCAAATCAGCTGTTTATGGAGCGAAAAAAGAAAACACGAAGCGATTTCGTTAATTTTCAATTAGCGAGATTTGTTATTATTAGTATANAAATTCACGTGTTAATGAACGTTATGTCACTGTGTTCCTAGCACGTATGCACATACATTTCAGCGTATTTATCTGTCTAACCGAAAATCGTCGATTCACCGCGAAGGTCAAGGTATGCATGCTCATCCTTGCCCACCCACACATACATATCCGATAGGAAAAGTTTCCGTGACGTCACAGCACAGGAAATGTTTGAGTGGTWTGCCAATGCAATATCAAATTGATAGCAGAGTTCTTTGACTTACCGACCAACATAAAGGGAGAATCCTTGGCCTTATTCACAAACTTGTTGGCCTGCGCCACATCTTCTTCGGTTTCAAATATGGATTTCGAACTCATGGTTTTTATGCCTTTTCCTCTTCTTTCGTAAGCCAACAAATTCGCACAATGCTAAAATTTTTGGCAAAGGTTGTCCGCCACTGAATGCAAAAGTGTTACTGAACTTGAACCGAATATTCCCACTTCTTTATTTAGATTTCATTTCACAATATTAATCGATAGCAAATCAGCTGTTTATGGAGCGAAAAAAGAAAACACGAAGCGATTTCGTTAATTTTCAATTAGCGAGATTTGTTATTATTAGTATATATATTTGTGTTGATGGCTAATATTGTGTTATTTTTATTTATTTTTAAATAATTTGTATTTTAAATTGTTTTTCACTTTTACATTATTCATATATAAACATCAACAAAACATGAAAGTTCAGTCTTATATAAATGTATTTTAAACAATCTAATAATTAGCAATATTATAAACCATTCGGAAACTCAAATATGTTGTAGGTGTAATAATTTGACCAACACTAAAGACAGTGTGACCGTAGTATGCAAGAGAAAAATTCCGCGCTCAGCTGAGTGTTTAGCCATGACATAAGAAATGAACATTCGTTAAGAGGGGAGAAACGCTGTTGGATTGCCGTAGCCCCAACACAATTCTTAGTTTTAAAATTTTCGACAAAAAGTGCTCACACAATCCGACGATCGCAGCAGCAGCGGATACATAACGACATCCACATCAATGGCGGGCATTATTTCAATATTAACGAGGCAATTGCCGCGCAACGTGCAAACCGTTGGCCTAAAAGCTGTGCGGAATCATGAAGTAAGCGAAAGGAACAGCCTGAATAATGCACAAGCAATCGAATACAAATTCGACTTAGCATCAAATTAATGAATGGCGTTGAGAGCGGAGGCACGGCCACATATTTTGTGTGTATTTGGATCAGTTGTTGTAGTTGCTGGCGGCCGCTAAAACAGCTCATAATGCGATTATGTAATTGAAAAAATGTTTGCACTGCAATGGGGCGCAATCAGCGTGGCAGTGCCACGCCTCCATAAAATATTCACGTGATGAACGCAATCTTGATAATAAATCAAATTGCACAATATTTGCTTTTCAGCTTCTATATGTATATTATAGTAATGCTCTCTTCCATTGACTACTTTTACAGCTCCAGCTGAGTGCCCGTCAGTATTCCCAGCTGGCTGTGGTTGCTGCATTGCAGCAACAGCAGCAACTGTTGCGTCGGGAAGCGAATCCTACTCTGCGCTGCCAAGATGCGATGCGGTAAGAAATGCGAAGCGATCCACTTAATTGTTTCTATAATCTCTATATATTCGCAGTTCTTTGGGCTGGCAGAGTTTTCACACCACCAGCAGCATGTGGTCAGAGCAGGTAGTGAAAGTGCCGCCGTTCGCCGACTCCATCACCGAAGGTGACATTAAGTATGTTAAACTACAAGCAAGACCATTCTCTTGTCTGCTGATAACTCATATGTCGCTTGATTAAACATGATTCCTTCAATCATTTAGATTTACCGTCAAAGTGGGCGACTCGTTCGGGGCCGATGAAGCTGTCATGGAGATCGAAACGGATAAGACAACTATGCCTGTTCCTGCACCCTTTGCTGGCACCGTGACGGAAATTCTAGTCAAGGACGGTGACACGGTTAAGCCCGGCCAGGAGCTGTTTAAATTGAAGCCCGGCGCAGCTCCTGCTAAGCCAGCTGGAGCACCCGCCCCAGCCAAGGAGGCACCAGCCCCAGCCCCAGCTGCAGCTGCTCCACCTAAGCCAGCGGCACCAGCTGCCGCTCCTGCACCCGCTGCGCCAAAATCAGCTCCACCACCGCCACCACCTCCAGCAGCGCGCCCGCCACCAGCTGCTCCCCGTGCTGCCGCTCCACCACCAGCTGCCGTCAGGCCTGCCGTGGCTCAGGTGAAAGTGCCTCCTGTTGACGGTTCCCGTCAAATCTTGGGTACGAGATCCGAGCAACGCGTCAAGATGAACCGCATGCGTCAAAAGATCGCGGCTCGCTTGAAGGATGCACAGAACACGTGCGCCATGTTGACCACTTTCAATGAAATCGACATGAGGTTAGTTAACGAAGCCCCTAAGTTACTTGTCTTATGTACCTGAATCTCTCCGCCTCGACAGCTATGCTATGGACTTCCGTAAGCAAAATCTTGATGCATTCACCAAGAAGTATGGCATCAAACTTGGTTTCATGTCCATCTTCTCGAAAGCCAGTGCCTATGCGCTGCAAGACCAGCCTGTTGTCAACGCCGTCATCGATGGTCAGGTAAATTTTACTCCTGAATCACTTGTGACGTATATAATTAGAAGCTTATCAGTCGCTAATTTGTTTACTTGTTGGGCTATTTGAAAAGTATCAAACGTGGTGGTATTTGCTTTGCAGCCAATTGTTTTTCGTCACCTTGATAACTATTTAGTAGTTATTTTAATAGATAACTCCGTTTCGTGTGCATTCGAAATCGCCTGAATTTCAGATTATGTCATATAGATGTCTTAAACGTAATTGATTTAAATTTAAAATTAATTTTCTTTAAATTTGTTAAATCTATCTTGAAAATGTTAACCCCTCTTATAAGATATATCAGCATAAAAATGTACACTCCACAGATATAAACAATTTTAGACGATCATTTCCAAGAACCAAATCCGAATTCCAATTTGTTCATATCAGCTAACATTAATAACCAAAAAATTTCTATATATATCGACATTTTTCTATATTCTATATATATGGAACCACTTAAATTAACACATTACATTTGAATACGTTAAGTGTCGAAATTGGTATATGATAGTGATAGTGCCTTAAACCCGTTTCAAATTCAATTATTGCTCTAATTGAAGTTATTAAATACTATATCTTTTCACTTTTGCAGGATATTGTTTACCGTGACTATGTGGATATCTCAGTGGCTGTTGCTACGCCCCGTGGTCTGGTTGTGCCCGTCATTCGTAACGTTGAGAGTATGAACTATGCGGACATTGAGATAGCTTTAGCTGGATTGGCCGATAAAGCCAAACGTGATGCCATCACCGTTGAGGATATGGACGGTGGCACCTTCACCATCAGCAACGGTGGAGTGTTTGGCTCGCTGATGGGCACGCCCATCATCAATCCACCTCAGAGTGCTATACTTGGCATGCATGGCATCTTTGATCGTCCCATTGCTGTCAAGGGCGAGGTGAGTTTTTYCATATRTGATTCAACTTGTATGWATAMACTATTAATAATTTTGTATATTGTAGGTCAAGATCAGGCCAATGATGTACGTTGCCCTGACATACGATCACCGAATCATTGATGGACGTGAGGCTGTGTTGTTCCTGCGTAAGGTGAAGGCTGCCGTAGAGAATCCATCTATCATTGTTGCCGGTCTGTAAGGACAGTCTGTGAGGTCCGTTAGCGCTGCGTCCACGTTGTTCTAATGATATTATCGAATCGGTGACTTAAAACTGAAGCACAGCCAAATTCATTGTATAAACAGAAACTTTTAATTTCATGTATTTATTTAAAAATTAACGAGTGTCACAAATTGACTTAAATTTGGGTTTAACTATAGCAAAATACATATATACAAAAAAAAAAAAAAAAAACACACACACACACACATAATAAAAATAATTACGACGTGGATTTGTTCTCAAAACGTGAACCAATTAGATTTATTATTTTGCACATTTCATAATTTAAAGAGCACATGAAAATTAATATCGTAATTAAAAACGATATCGTAATTGATAAACTAAAGAATGTTTTGCTTTTCGATCATTTGCTTGGTTTTCAGAGTGGATATTGTGTAACAGTTCAGGCTTGAAAATATATACTTATACTCGCTTAAGTGGAATAGAACTTACCTTACGCGTAATTCAAAGTTAGAATTAAATTATAAAATACTTTACTCTTTCTTTCGTAAACACTGCTACACTTTAATAAAGTTAGTTTCTTGAGCATTTTGACATTGACATTGTTTACAAAGCTACTAATATCGTAAGCATATCATCTGTCACAATCGAATCTTTAAAATAGAAATATACATATGAATAAATATTAAGAAAAAAAAGCTTTTTTAGAAGTTATCTCTGTGTAGTGTAGAAAAGTGCCATTCCTTTCTACTGAACTTATTTAAAATTAATATCTTGTTAGAAAATATTTCGTTCAAAGACAGTCTTGATCTAAATATAATAGACATAGACTTAATTAATTATTGAAGACTCATCACAATATACAATTCGAAAATTTTGACAAATTTKTGCTAGATATTTAGGCCAGAATTCTAAAAGTAAAGATTTTGAGGCATTAGGAATTTGCTACTGCTACGAATATATACGAATCTTATATATATCTTGTATCTTATATATATTATTCCGCTTTCATATAAACATTCTGCCTCACTTTATATAAAAAAACAATAAATATTATTACGTACAGAGGGAACAAAGCCAATATACTCTTGTCACATCGTGAGAAAGTTTGATTTTCATCTAGGTAGCTTTGCATTAGCCCAAAACATTTGGATTTATTTAGGGATTTTTTTCGCTTGAAGTATACCATCTAGCTAATGATGAGTGCTGTCTCCATTTTAAAAAGATCCTTGCGGCGTAATATATATTTTGTATGTCTACGATCCGGAATATGGAATGTGAGTACAAGTCTGTGTTAAAAGGCGACACAGGAAGCAATTGACCCTTTACAATTTCTGATTTAGCGCCAACTCTTCAATCGTCACTGTAGTCGGATGGCTCTTGGAAAGGCACTTTATCCGCCGGATAAGCTCTTGTGCCTAGAGTCGAATTCTGCTTTGCGATTTCAGGATGGAGGGGGGTAAGGATCCTGTTCGTTTCGTTCAACTGTCTGTCTCTCTGTCTCTTTCTGTCCACCGTCTGTCGCTCGATGGGCTCTAAAACTATGAATTATATATTAAATGCGCTTTTTCCTAGAGTTTTTTTGTTAATGATATTTTATTGCAGCTGCTTGGACTGGAAAGGCTTTCACACCACCAGCATCATGTGGTCGGAGCAGGTGGTTAAGGTGCCACCGTTTCCTGACTCCATTTCCGAAGGTGACATCAAGTAAGTAGCTCGCGCAGTAAGTAGCTCGCACTTTTAGCTGTCATCCTTTGGGTTTCAGGTTCACATGCAAGGTGGGCGATTCGTTTGCTGCCGATGATGCTGTCATGGAGATTGAAACGGACAAGACGACGATGCCGGTGCAGGCGCCCTTTGCTGGCGTCGTGACGGCGATTCTTGTGAAGAGTGGCGATACGGTTAAGTCTGGCCAGGAGGTTTTTAAGATGAAGCCTGGCGCAGCTCCGGCCAAAGCTGCTGCAGCCCCTGCAGCTGCAGCACCAGCCCCAGCACCAGCGCCAGCAGCTCCAGCACCAGCAGCTCCAGCACCAGCAGCTCCAAAGCCTGCACCAGCTCCTGCTCCTGCACCCGCAGCTGCAGCGCCAAAGCCTGCTCCAGCACCGCCCGCCGGAGGAGGTCCGCCCCCCATAACGGGCACACGAACCGAAACAAAAGTCAAGATGAGCCGTATGCGCTTAAAAATTGCGGCTCGCTTAAAGGACGCACAGAACACCTGCGCCATGTTAACCACTTTCAATGAGATCGACATGAGGTTGGTGCACGCCAGCCCATCAATTCACATTAATATATAATTTATTATATATTATATAAACTTTTCCCATCAGCTTTGTAATGCAATTTCGCAAGGAGAACCTGGACGCATTTATGAAAAAGAATGGAGTCAAGCTCGGCTTTATGTCCATATTTTCAAAAGCTACTTCTAACGCATTGCAAGATCAGCCCGTGGTTAATGCAGTCATCGCTGATAAGGTAATTTTAGCTGAGGCTATAATCGTATAATACTATTTCGAATTCTTTCCATAGGAAATAATTTATCGTGACTATGTGGATATCTCTGTGGCTGTTGCCTCGCCCCGCGGCCTGGTGGTGCCCGTCATCCGCGGCGTCGAGAGCATGAAGTACGCAGATATAGAGAAAACTCTGGGTGCCTTGGCGGACAAGGCGAAGCGCGATGCCATCACCATAGAGGATATGGACGGTGGCACATTCACCATCAGCAACGGCGGYGTGTTTGGCTCGCTGATGGGCACGCCCATCATMAATCCRCCYCAGAGTGCTATACTTGGCATGCATGGCATCGTGGAACGGCCCATCGCTGTCAAGGGAGAGGTGAGCTGAATACAATTAGTAAAATATAATTGTAACTAACTCTTGAATATTACAGGTCAAGATCAGRCCAATGATGTACGTGGCCCTCACATACGATCACCGAATCATCGATGGACGCGAGGCTGTGCTGTTCCTTCGGAAGATCAAGTCCTTCGTTGAGACGCCTGCTGAGCTAGCAACGGGTTTGTAGGATATCTTTCTATTTGATCTGTGATTCACGTTGTTCAGTTGATGTTATCAAAATGGACGTCTATGTCGAAGCTAAGCCAAATTTTTTGTACTAATTAAACTATAAAGGACAATTTAATTTTCTAATATTTTAGCTAATTGATACCAGATTATATGCATGCATGTTAGGATTGAGAGAATCACAACATATTTTATATCACTGTTATTATTAACTATGTTTATATTTATGAAATTTGTTCATGGTATAAGGACATGTAAGTGAAGTATGGGCAGTACACGACTAGGAAATACTAGGGAATATCTGCAGATTTTCATCATGAACCGTTTTAAGAACTTGTGTCTCTAATTTATATGGATCTGAAAATTAAATTTTGCTTACTCAGAATGTTCGATATATGCTAAACATTTTGGGATTGTTAATGTGAGTTAAAATTGTTATTGATATTTTGAGCTGAGTTTATATCATCCATATAGGTATTAGGTATAGACGGATAGGAGAAAGATAGAGCTAGATATTACTATTGATTCTGATGATAAATGAATGAAATTTGTGTTTGGGCCTTCTATGGTCTCTTTTTTTGGAGTCAATAAGCTTACTATATAAATTTAAAATAAATTTTCATATTTCTAAAATCATACATATTGGTGTACATATTATTTTCATCATGAGTGTATACGCATTCCTGAAATATTTAATAAAGCTGAAAAATTGAATAAAAAGCATTTGTTTTTTCTTTTTTTTGTTATTTGAGCAAATTGGCTTGTACAATTTTATTGATTACTTTTGTTTGCTTTAGTTTAAATATCAACTATTTTTAATGTTTACAAAATGGTTTTGGTCTTAAATCTGGTTTTGTATAAAAAAAGAATTTAAGTAAAATTATTTGATTTCAAATTAAATTGACATTTGTTTTTAACTAAATGAGAAAAATATGATTTTGTTTTAGATCCATCAAAGAGATTGAATAACACAGTTTTTTGTTTTTTACTTGTAGTTTTAGGTTTAGTCACTATACTTAAGTAGGAATGCTAACCGAAAGAACTGAGAACATTTGACCTATTTGTATGTAAAATGATGGGGAGAAATTAAGTCGAAAATCATATAAAATCTTTTCTAATTAATATATCGTTTACAAATATGTTCATATGTATATAAAAAATGCGACAATCGTTTCGTCTAAAACATTTTCCACAAGACTGTGCAAAATTAGAAGAGTTAACATTTTAGACAAAACGATTGGCATTATCTACATTTTATACCCATTCATGTTTGGGTTTCCTTTTTTTTTCATTTGCTGAAATTGTGAATTTTTCCTTGTTTTTTTGTTTAGCTTAACTAAGGGGATACAGAGTGTAGTTACATAATTAAATTTACTGTAGCCGTACGCGTGTATTTCTACTAGAGACTTATGAAAGAGTTCTTAATAGTATTTGCTTCTGCTTAGCTTGCATTTTTGGTTTTTTTACGTATTTGAATTTTGGGTAACTTTCTATAGACATTTCTATATAATCTGGCCCTGGTTGTTGGGTCTTGCACTTGTCTTCCCGCAAGTACAACACTCTTAAGTCTAAGCAATTACACTAGGTATCCCCAACCTTGTGACCGAAATACTTTGTAATATCTTTGATTTGAATCATTTTTGTTTTGTATCTTTTGCTATTAGGATTTTTTTTTTCTTTTTTTCTATCTCTTTGTATAGATCTTGGGATCCCTGTTTTTGGGTTTTCTTTTCATTTTTTTTTTTTTTGCTTCTAAATGGATTTTTCAATAGAAATATTGTACAAGATTCCATTTGCTGCGATTTGTTTGTTTTGGCTTCTTCTCTTGATGATTTTGCAGATTTCCAAAATGCATAAAACGTTTCAGTTTGTTAGTCATTGTTTTCTAAATGGTTGGTTCTTCAAGTTTTGTTATGTGTAAATAAGATATGTAACTTAATTTTCAGTCAAGCCGTCAAATGGTATGGAAAAACGGTATGGTCTGCCTTAGATTTGGTTACATTTGCATAGATGCTTTCGCTTTTTGCTACTTTTTGCTGCTTTTTGCTACTTTTTGTTGCTTTTTTGGGTTTTTTGGGCTACAATGTTGTCGTTGTACAAGTCGGAAATGTGTAATTTCATAAAGAAAGATGGTTTTTTGCTCATGTTGCTGTTGCTGTTGTTGTAGCTGTTGCTGTTGTTGCTGATGCCAAGTCTCTAGATGATGGTTGCTGTTGTTGTTGGTATTGTTGTTGTTAGTCTGTTGCTTATGCTGCCGCTTGGCCAGGCAACTTTCGCAATGAATTTCTAAATCAAAAATTTGTCTGTCTGGTGGTCGTTGGGAGTTTTTGACTTGATTGAAGTTTAGAGTTAGAGCGCATATGAGCTACCTACCCACGATTCAGCCATATTTTATTTATTGATAGCAATTATGCTACGACCTCTCCTCTATTGCCAGTAGTTTATATAAATTTACAGTTTTGTTTGATGTGCTTTCAACTGCATGCATTGGGGGACTGAGTATGTTGTTGTTGCTGTTGTTGCTGCTGTTGCTGCTGTTCGAACTTTCTTTGCCAAAGAAAACTAAACTAACCACATTGTTTAAAGGGTGTAGTGGGTGCTGATTTGCCTGATATATGTCTTTCGTGTGCTTAAAGTTCGGGCTGCTGGTTCTGTGTTTCTGTTTTCATTTGTCGCTTTTGATTTTGATTTAGATTTTGATTTCGATTTGGATTTGGAATTTGAATTGGATTTTGGTGAACTCTGTATGTTTTTTGTCTTCGCTGCTGTCAGGCGCAAATAATGCGTCCCGAGGACTTCTTAGAATCGCTTTCAAATGTTTACAATTTTGAGCTATCCAAAACTATCGTTGGCTTTGTGGCTTGTGCGTGTGTGTTTCTGTCTCTGCCTCTGCGTGTGTTGTGTGTGTGCGTGCGTGTGTGTGTGTGTGTGTGAGTCTGCTTGAGGGATTTTGGCATATGAATCTGGCTACTGAATTTATTTTCAATTTCAACCCCTTCTATGCGAAAGTTTTTACAATAATCGTTGTTGTTTTTGGTTCGGAATTGTTTTGTTCGCGTTGATTTATCTGCCTTGTCCTATTTCTCTGGCGAATGAGTAGGCCGCCATTTGTAAGATTTTTGCCAGAAAGTTTGCCAGGACAGTTGCTTGCTCCTTGTAGTCTTGTTTTTTTTTTTTGTTTCTTTTTGCGTTCCTCTTGTTTTTGGTATATTATGATAATGATGCTGATGATTATGATGGTGATGTTTTTTCTTGTTGTTCTTGACTTTTTGTCGCATTAAAACTTCCGTTCGTGCTTGTAATTTATAATGCTGCTTTTTGGGAATTTCGTTGCAATTTGTCATCTTAATGTGTAATAATAATAATTATGCGCCAAAGGGCATCCGAATGCTGCGACTTTTCAGTTAATTTGTCTTTTGCTCTTTAGAATTGAATACAATTTTTTTGTGGTCTTTGGCGGAACTGCTCAGAGTGTTTCGAAAGCTAAGAATTTACTTGAGTTTCTTCTTTTTGTTTAGATTTTCATTTATTTTTTTTTTTGGGTTTTGTATTGTGTCAGAATTCTGATTGATTTTTGGTTTTTGATTTCGGATTTCGCATTGATTTTGCACAGATTTTGATCACTTGAAATTGAGTTGTTTTAGGTACTAGAATTTTTAGATATTGATTTTGAATTTTGATTGCCGGTTAGTGTTAGAATTTTGTGGATTTTGTAAATTGTTGCTTGCCAGAGTAGCCGAAAGTGGAAATTTAGAATTTCTTTGGATAATTTGAGCTCTAAAATTAAATAATTTTGATAGTAATTTGTTAAAAGAAATCTCTAAAAAAATAAATAGTTTTTGTATATATCACAATATTCAAGAAATAAAATTTTAAATAATTTTCATGAAGCTATTTGTTTTGATTTTGGGGGTTTGAAAAGATAAAAATTTGTCATAGATATTTTTTGCTTTTAAATAATTCGATTTGATAAGTGCTTAAATGAGTTTGTTTTGTTTTGATTGTATTGAATTTGTGAATTTAAAATTTACATTTAATTTTAATCTTCTTTTCAAATTAAACTTGGATTTAGATTTTCGGGTATATTAGTTTTTTGAAATTTAAAGGTTTTAATTTATTTTTGTTTATATATTTGTCAAAGTTAAAAATTTTTTTTTAGGTAAGTAATTTTAGTATGATTTTCTCTTATATTTTGTCAGTCAAAGAACGATATATTTAAATATGTAGAATTGTAAGCAGAAAATGTAATATTAATATGTTCCGAATTATTAGCTATTTTTGTCAAATTTTAATTAATAGAAAGATATTCACATTTTTAATTTTTAAAAATTGTTGCTTGATAAAAGCTTAAAAAAGTCTAAAGCAATTGAAAAATTTTTCATGCTTAATTTTAAAATAGTAAAATGGTGTCTAGATTGATTTTTAAATTTCGAAGTTAAAGAATATAAGGAAAGTATGATTCACAAACAGAAAATATACAAAAATTTAAAATTTTTAAATATAAAATTATTTGCTTTGGCTTTGTTATAAGAATAACTAATAACATATAAATTTACTAAAAATTTTACAGAATATTAATGATTTTCTTATTTCTTTCATTTTTGTTGATGTAAATTTTGTTCTAGATATGGAGCTCTGATATTATTTCGTTGAGATGTTTTTTAGATATGGAATTTGTAAAATAATTTGTCGAAGCTTTGAGAATATTATAACTGAAAGTTTGTTCGAGATAATAATCATCGGAAAGAATTTTTAGGTCAGTCTTAAATATTTCGAAAATATAATAATTGTTCAAAAAGTTTTTAAATAGCTAAAGATATAGACTGTTAGATACTCTGTTAATTGTTTGTTTGTGATCCAAATAAGCTTTTGGAGAGGAGTAATTTATTATATAAATTATTGAGAGAGGCGTTTTTTGTAGTTTAGTAAAAGCCCAAGAATGGAATTATGTTTTTTTTTAGTGTCAAAGTAAAAGCTCAAGAATGCCTTTTTGTTTTCGTTAGCGTCAATGGCTTGGATATTTTCGATATTTAGATATCAAGTGAGCGCTTCTAAACAAGTTTTTTTATAAAATCATTTTTCTTTTAATTTGATCAATTTAAAGTTGTTTTGTTATAATTTTTATGAATATTAGAAATTTCTCAGCAAGAATAAATTAATTTGTTGTTTTTTATATAAACAATTTTTGGATTTCAAGTTTTTTGGATTGCTTTCAAGTTAATTGTGCTAAACATTAATTTAAGTATTAAATTGAAAATCAATTTTGTATGTTATTATTACAAATAAAAAATTTTTATATTTGTTTTACTTTGAGTTCTGGATTTTGTTCGTATATATTTTTGGATATTGATTTTGAACGAATGTATTTGGAAATATGAAGACATTAATTATCTTCCAATAAAGATTTGAGTATTTAAGAAAGTTAATTCTAATTGTTTTCTATTTCTTGTAAATATTATAGTAATTTAGATTTGTATTTGGGATATTTTTGTTATTGGCTTTGAATGGATAAAATAAAAAATAACATTTTTTTTGCCTAACTAATTCTTAGCAATTTTTATGTGTTTTTTTTAAATATCCTCTAAATATCAGTCTTATTTTTTGTTTTTGGTTGGAAATGAAGGCTTTTCCTTATGAAATGTATAAGGCAATGAAATGAGAATCATTAAATTGGTTCGAGTTTGGATTTTGAGTTGTAAATAGATTAGATTCATTTTCTAATTGAATAAATATGAATTCGATTGATTTGAGAATTTGTCATTTTGTTAGCGTTTTGTGAGTTTTGATTTCGAATTTCGTCAATATTTGCCGCTTCACCCATAAACATAAATAAAAATTCCTAATTAATAAAAATAAATTCGGTTTTAAGGGGTATTTCTTTCGGTTTGTGTTTAGTTACCAACGACCAGCAGACGATTTGTTTTTTAGTTCTCAAGTGTTTGAAAGATATTGGCAACGATTTTATGCTACCTACGAGTATGTACCATTTTTGGTTCGTGTTTAAGTTTTTTTTTCGTGAACATTTTTGCGCATTAAATATTTTTTTTTTACTTTCAAAAAATTCGAATTAAAAATTACTGCAACGCCTTTGCCATCTCTAGTTTCTTGAAAATGCGAAAAAAATATTAAAAGCGTCAAAAATGTTTAGAATTAAAAATTTTCTGATACTTTTCGCTATCAAAATGTGTTTTGGGGTCGGGCTATTTCTTTTCTTCTTGGGTATCGTAGAAGCAGCTTCCTTTGCAGCCATTTTATTACCAAAGTGGTGTGGGTATATGTGGTGCGTGTGCGTGTGTGTGCGTGTAGGTGTTTTGTGTGCATGGGTGTGTGTGAGCGTGAGCCCCTGTATAGGTATATGTTCGAAAGTATGTGTGTGTGTTGTGTGTGTGTAAGTTCAGTGCCAAATTGGTGGTTGGTTTATGCCTGAAGCTCTTGATGTGCGAAACTTGATTTTCGTAGAGGTTTTAATAACTTGGTTTGTGAAAACTTAAGATTCATAAGGACGAAACGCTAATTTGAAATTTGGAACATTATTCGATTTGCGTTTTGATACACAAAATGAAAAACTATTGCATTGTGTGTGTGGATTTTGGAGGTTAACAGGGGCCCGGGTTCGGGTTGGAAATGAAGGCTTCTGCGATGCCGTGGAAGAAGAGTTCAATTTTTTGTTTCGTTTTTCTTTCTAAGGTTGTTTTTTTTTTTTTTTTTTTGTTCGCAGTACTATAGTAGGACTAGGATTTGGATACGATTTTGAGTTAACGTGTTTGGCTGTTAATGGAAAATCGCTGCTGTACATTATTAAATAAATTTTTTTTTTGCTTTTGCTTTTGTTTTGTTGTGTTCGCAGCACAAGCTCACCTTTTAGCTGTTTTTTCTTGTTTTGCGTATTAATTTGGTAAAATATTTCTTTTGAGATATTTAATTTCGATTTGTTTTTGTTGGCTAACGCTGTGCAGCGGCCTTTGAAATCGAAAGGTTTTAAAAGTGCAACTGAAAAACGTTAAGCTAAAACGTAAGGTCAAAACATACTTGCGAAATGTTGTTTTCGTTGTGCGCTTTTTGGGCTGCCAAAGATGCTCTCTCGTGCTGCGCTCGCTGCTCTCGCTCTTGCTCTCTCCATTTCTCTTGCTTAGGCTGTAGCTCTCTCTGTGTATGCGTGTGTGTGAGTGAGTGTGTGTGTGATGTTGTGCTTGTGTTTGTGTTGAATTCGCCGCAGAAACTTAGATTGCTTGTTGGGGTGGTATGCGTGTGTGTGTGTGTTTGTGTTTGTGTTTGATTCCTTCCTGTCGAGGGGTTGCTGCTGGGGCAGCCGCCCCTGCTTAGATATTCAGCCAAATATCTATGGCGGGGCGACTGTGTCCCCGTTAAGCTGCTGCCTTAGATAAATGACGACGTTGCCGTCGCTGCTGCTGCTGCTGCCGCTGCTCCTGCTCCTGCTCCTGCTGCCTGCTACTTTCGCCGTCAAATGTTCGATCTTACGCTTTGTCATCGTCTTCATCATCATCGTCATCAGCGTAGCAGGCGCCGTCGCAACATTTGTGCCGTTATATGCGAATGTCGATTTTGTTGTTGCTAACTTGAATTTGGGTTTCCTTCCTTGTAGTTTTTGTCGGAATTCTGTAGGATTTGGTGGCCGGGTCTGTTGTTTGGGGCACAATGCTTCGGTTTGGGGCTGCTGGCAGTTGCATTGCAGTCTCTTAAGGCGTTTCGATTTGGATTGGTTCTCTTGATGAGATGGCTTTTTGTTGYTGTTAATGAATTTGTTGATTTGTCGTTTGTCGTTGCAGTAGAGAAATATGAGCAATAAACATTTTAGAATTTCTTTGAGTTTCATAACAATTTTCTCGGAGTCAATTGGAATTTGTTGCTGTAGCTGTTTGATCCATGCTAGCTTCAATCGAAGGCGTCTAGCTGTCTGCTCAACTGTGGGGGTCCTATATACACATATATGGTTAAAATTTCACGTTAATAAAACATATATTTGTTTCTGTTAGCTGCACTATAAGAGCACTTTACTCTAATATTGCTGAACTTACCTGTAAAATATAAAAAATAATATTATTATCTATTCACTATTTCCTTTTTCGTCCTCTTTTTGGGTTATCTTTGAAAACTTTCCAATTGTTGTCGAGTTGTGTGCACTTCTCAATTTCTTTTGAAATTTTGTTATATTTATTTTTGTTCGTTTAATATAGTTTTTTTTTAGTATTTGTATAGAGTTTTGTAGTGTCTGTTATGGAATTTGGTTCTTTGTGCATTAAACATTTATTATTTTTGATTCCGTTTTTAGGCCATATCGCAAAACTATATTAAGATTGGAGCTTCTGGTTTACTTTTGCAAACTGTTTTTATACGTTTTTCTTAATATTTTTGTTGTAGTATTTTTAGTTTGTAAATAAGAGTTAATCTGACTTTCGGTGCTGTTATATTTGGTATTTGGGTTTTTCGTTTTGGGTTTTTGGTTTAACTTGTGTGATTTGTTGAAATTTTTGTAGTTTTTTTTTGAATTTGTGGTTTTCGGAACGGTTGAAAGTAAACTTGAAAGATTTTTTTTGTAATGCCGCGTGCAACAGCCTCCTTAGCGCTTTTAGGGCATTGCGCTGGAGGATGGAGGATCTGTTGCTGATCCACAAAGTCCTCGGTGGTTTCCTGCTGCTGCTCCTGGCTGCTGCTGCTTTTGCTGCTGTTGATCCTCAGCGTTTGAAGATTGAAATGAAACTGATTGATTCTGCGCAGCAGCCGTGGCTTATATACCCAGCCAGATTCGCTCGCCAGCCGGGGATGACGATCTGGCTCCGGAGGCTGCAAAGCTTTGTGCATTGTCTGGCCGGATATGGACAATAGGCGCGGCTGGGCAACAATGCATTCAATGAAACCCGTTTGGCAAGTTTATTATAGAAAAACCGTTGCTCGGATGTTTGATAAAAAGTGCGTTTTCTATTCATGGTGGTGGGTCTGCAGATCAGGCAGCATACGGCATACAGCATACAGCATCATCCAGATGAAGTTCAGGATCATAGCACACCTGGCTTCCATCTGAAAGCTGCAACGGCTGCTGGACCATGAAAACCAGTTTCCCCGCTCTGCTGTCCAACGGGTGCGTTCAACATCCTTGAATATCCTTGACCATTTGATCTGTGCTTGTCTGGTTGCTGTGATGGGAAAAAACTCAGATTTTTGCCCAATTTTGATTGTTGCCTGAAATTCAGGCAAATTTCGCTGATAATCATCGGAATCGGCTCATTTCGAAACAAGTTTTGAGGTTTCATACAATAATTTGTCGCTCCGAAATTTATGGCCTGCACAGGTCCAACGCAGGGCAGCCAACCCAGTTTCGATGGCAATTTCCAATGCAAGTACAATCCCCATAAACTCTGGTACTTCATCTTACTTTTGGGTCAGGCAACCTTTTCTTGGTAGCCAAACGTTCGTTTGTCCGGTCACTGAGTTTTTTGTACTTTTTCTTTTATTTTTTTTTTCAAGGTTCACTTTCAGTTTTCATTTTGTCGGGCAGATCAACAAGTTAAGGGTTGCCTTCGCTGGGATTTTTTTCTCTTGTTGCTTCGCAGTTGTATTAACCTCTGTTTGGCCCGGGTTGGGCGAAAGGTTAGAGGTGGGTTCATGACATTTGCATTCGCGTTTCCCATTTGCTTGCATCATTCCGAAATGGGACACTCTGTGAGCGTAGTAAGGGAGGAATTCCGTCCATTGTGAATGCTGCTGATAGTGTGCCCAGATAGTTGGAAAATGGCAAAGACAGGCGATATTTGTTCGTTTTTATAAACGAAAAAAAATAATAATAATAATAATAATAATAACAAAATCAAAAATATGCTGATTGAAAATATAAAAATAAGTAAAAACCATTAATAAAAATTTAATACAATTATTTTAAGATAAACTTTCAGATTTTGTTTGACTGTGCTTTATTAATTAAATGATAAAGGTTTGACTTAGAGTTGTAAGAAGTACTCTATATTGCTGTGAATTAAACCTTTATTGGTAACAATTCGTGTCATAAAAAACCTATAATAAATATACATATAAAGAGAAATTCAAATATAATATAAAGATAACTTATTGTGTGCTCAATTTATGTAACTTCAAACAGAATTAATTAATATTGAAGAAATATAAAAAATAATACATATATATATATGT